GGTCATGGGGGGAGGGCCTTATGAAGATGGCTGAATCTAGAGGTTGTGATTGGTTGTCTAGTGCTGGTATTGGTAGCGTGAATGCTGCACCTGCTTACATACAATAATATAAGGGAGGAAAAGCAGCTTGCCCCTCCCTTTTACCCTTTTGCTCTTGTCACCTTTGGTACCTTTGGTATATGCAACAGCTGCCATGAATGTCACTCCTTAGCTATACCATTCTGCCTTGGAGGCAGCTGAGTATAGACTGAAACCTCCACAAACTGTGAGCTAAATAAAATAAACTTTTCCTTTCTTCATTTTGGGTACCAGGTATTGTCTCAGCAACTTGAGAGAAGTAACTAAGACAATGACTTTTTTGTTTCCTTGTTTTTTGTTTTTATTTTTTGAGACAGGATCTGCTATATAGTTCAAGATGGCCTGAGTTTCAGTTTACTTATCTATAAAATGGAATAAATAATGTAGGCTTAATAGAAATTAAATAAAATGATAAACATTTAAATTACACCATGCCATCAATAAGCATTTAACAAACAAAATTGCCTCTCAGTAGAACTTTTTTTTTTTTTTTTTTTTGTCTTTTTGAGACAAGGTCTCTCTATGTAGTTCAGGCTGCCCTTGAGCTCACTTTGTAGCCTAGGCTGGTCTCAAACTTGCAAGATCCTTCTGCCTCAGCCTTCTGAGTGCTGGGATTACAGGTGTGAGCCACCACACCCGGCTCCTCTCAGTATAACTTTGAGTGGCTGACTTACTCTCTAGTGATCCATGGTTGTTGACACCTGACCTATTTACTCAGGTATATCATCAGTAAGGACTGGAAGTGACAACACATTAAGAATCATTGAAACTATCTTTTGAGACTAATAAGAAATATACAAAGAGGGAAGTAAAATGATTCAAAGCAATGAAAGGACCACCATTAGGAAGAAAGGCCCAGACCTGCCTGTGCAGTAAACTGCCTGGCCAACCCGTAAAAGTTACAGAGCTTGTGTTGGCTACTTTTACTTTTTTCTCGTTGCTGGGGCAAAACACTCAACACCCAAAATGAAGGAAGGAAAAGTATTTCTTACAGTTTTTGGAGGTTTCAGTCCATAATCATCTGGCTCCTAGGCAAGGTGGCATGGCACTGGGGGCAACACTTCAAGGCAGCAGCAAGCAAAAGCAGCCAGAGCAAAAGGCAGAAAACAAGCCTCTTCTGTTGGCTAATACTCTACACAGGCCACCCCACACTTCAGGGCGGGTGTAGCGCTGGCAAAATCTCCTCGCCCTCCTTTGAACAGGATGAGGGTATTCACAAAGTAAGAACCCTGGCTGCCTGCTGAGTCTCTCAGTTAACCTTCTAAATTTCTCAAGTTGACACAATGTATCAACCGTAACAGAGCCACATTGGTTACTGGAGAGGACTGGCTTAGAATATTGGACAATGTCTTAAGATATTTCTGATTCTCACAACTGAGACACTGCCATTGACAACTAGTAGATAGAGGCCAGGAATACAGCTGAACATCCTATAATGCACAGGCCAGACGCCCACAAAAAAGAATTACATGGTAGAAATATCAATAGTGCTGAGCTTCAGAAACCCTGAACCAGATTACAAATTTTCCTTCATACTTGAACAAACTAAAAGACTATGACAAGGCAGCACCAAAACTGAACAGGTGACAGCCTCATCGATATCCATCTACAAATGACCCTTTATGAGTACTCAAAATCTTCCCAAAGCCAAACATTTGGTTATTCTTTAATAGCCACTGAATACTTTAGTCTGGTACTGTACCTCAAATTCTATAATTTAGTGCTGTGTTTCTTTCTTTTTTCTCTTTTTGGTGTTTTGAGACAATGTCACTCTACATAATTCAGGCTGGTCTCACTAAGTAGCCCACGCTGACACTGACTCATGGTGATCCTCCATGCATGATCCTCAGCCTTCCAAATGCTAGGATTACAAGAGTGCACCAATATGTCTGACCAGGTTATTTTTCTAAGGGTGGTGACAGTCCTCCCTTAACATCATTAAGAAACCCAGAAATCAAAGAGGCACTGGTATCCAGATACTTGGTCTCACATGTTTTACAATTAGAATCAGTAGTCTAAAACCATACAAATCCTTTTGGGTGAAAAAATGATTTAAATAAGTCTAAACAAGGTCAGAAAAAGATTAATACACACCACAGTAAAGATGACTCTCAAATACATCACACTAGTTGAAAGAAGCCTAACTCAAATAGCCATATACTATGAGTCCGTTTATATGACATTCTGGAACAGACAAAACTGGAGGGTGACCAGGACATAGATCAGAAGCTACAAAGAGCAAAGGGTAGGAAAGAGACTACAAAGGGAGATAAAGGAACTTTAGGGATGATGAACTGTATACATATATGTATATATACACATACTGTATATGTATATATATACACATACATATGTACATGTACATATACTATATATTATACTGACCTGTTTGTCCAAACTCACAGAATTACACACTACAATTAAAAGATTAATTTTACTATATCTAAATTATACTTAAATAATACTGACTCCTCTCACCAAATATGATTGCAAATCCTCTAGAAAACATAGATAACATCTAAATTCTTTCATTTCCAAATTCTATAATTTCATGACATGCCACCTCCCCTACCCCTGATGACCTCAGAGCCATGGCAATTAGAATTGATTCTGGAATTTGACTTCTTTGTTAAAGCCATGAAGCCCACTGACTACATCATTTGGCACTGAGTCCTAACATATTGGACCTCTGGCTCTATTCCAGCTTGTGGCAGAGGCTTCTCTCTCCTATCCTCACTCCTCCTGGAGCTGATGAGGGACTCAGATAATTAATAAACATGACAGAATAAATCTCAGGAGACACTGGTTTTATCTCTTTGCACAGGCTTCCTGTCTTATCCCACGTGAACTTTTCATTAACTTCCAAATCAGGCAACAGAAAAATCATATTTATGAATTCTCCTCTATTGTCTTTTGGGTCTCTACTAGATTACTTATACAATTAAACTACATAAATTTAAAACATGACCCACACACAAAACTCATATGTTAATAATAACATACATGTATAAAAAATAATAACATACATGTATAATATACATGTCTCCTCCAAAATTATTGTTTTATCAAATGTTACATAAAATACCTAATTCCTCCTCTGTAAAGTCATTACAGGTGTCAGTATACCATGGTCAGGAGATCTAAAACAGCTATCAGAATGTTTGTGCTTTCTGCTAATAGAAAGACCACTGTTGGGGCCAGGGATTTAGCTCTGCAGCATAAGCGCCAGCCTGACAAGCGTGAGGTCATGAGTTTGATCCCTGGTACCCAAAAAAAAAAAAGACCCCTGTCTCCTATGTCACAAATACATCACAATTGTGTCCTGGCATAGGAGTTCCATCATCTCTTACTGACAGTCAGTTCCTTTCCTGGCTCTTCTTGGAAGATTTCAGTTAAGAGTTACAAATACTAGTAACCAGATACCTCACACACACTAAGTGCCAGAATAAAAATCAAGGGTCAAAAGATAAGTTTAGACCTACAGTGTCCTTATATTCCAAAGGACAAAGAAGACTGGACAGGAGTCAAGTAATGGCCACACTTCCCTTTTCTACTATTTATAGCAAACAGATCAAGACTATGAAGGTAGTGCACTCACAACAAAAGGGCCCACAGAGACAAGAAATCCTGCAGAGTCCTAGGATCTTGTTTCCATACGCTCTCCTATGGGAGGGGAGGACAGGGGATGCCTCCATGGATTAGCAGTCTGCATTAGCAAAAAATCAGTGTATCCTCCCCTGTGTAACTCAGACTTGATAATATGAATTTTCACAAAAGACCAAAGTAAGCAGAAAACAAATGCTGGATTTTCATTGAAAAGAATAGGTGAAGCTTGGCTTGGTGGCATATGCCTGTAATCCCAGGACATGGGAAGCTTGAGGCAGAAGGATCACTGTGAGTTCAAAGCTAGTCTAAACTACATAGTGAGACCCTGCCTCACATAAACAAACATACACACAGAAAAAGGATGACCAACAGCTCAGCTGGCAATGTCTTGGCTGATCTTCTCCATCCCCAGGCAGCAGGTCAGCAGAATTTGTCCCTATATACTTTGTAAACTGTAAACTGCCAGACTAATGTCTAGGCCTGTATCCCTCAGCTTAGGAGCACCTTCCAGCCCTAAGACTCAGAGACAACTAGCCTCCAAGATTCCTAGCCCACCCACTGCACACAATCCAAGGCCACGATTGAGGTGAGCCACAGTCACTATCACCAGATCCAAATACCACCTGAGCTAACTTACACTGCCAGAATCATGCTGAGACCCAGGCTTGCACTAGCGTTGGTTAATTCCATGCCCTAACTAAGCAGTCTTCACCCACCTCCTTCAGGTTCAATCATTACCTTTCCTTAGACCAAAATATCATTAGTTTGTGACCAAAATATCTTTAAAAAAAAATAGCCAGGAGCCAGATTCTATGCTAATTTGTCAGTAATTATCCTGCTATGACAAACTAAGGAACTACAGGATGATATGTATGCATCTGAAATAAAATTCTTTTGTTAACACGACCATAGAAATAATACTTGAAAAGGCCAATGATCTTTTGTTGTACTGAAATTTTTTCTTTTCAAAAACCTGGCATTTTGTATTAAATTTTTTTAAATTTAAAGTATCAATTAAATACTCCCAATCTGTGCAACTATGCCGTAATGACTTTGAAAAGTACCTGTATGATTTTTTTGAAAAACGATCCGAGAAGCCAAGTATCACGGTACATGCCTGTAATGCCAGCACAGTGGGAGTTGAGGCAGAAGGAGTCCAAGTTTGAGCCCATCCTGGGCAACTTGAAGACCTTCACTCAAAAATAAAAGTATAAAAGAACTGTTCTGTACAAAGATGCTGGGCTCAATCCCCAGTATCAGTATTGGAAAAAAAAAAAAAAAAAAAACTGTGGAGCATGAAAGAAAAAGGACATTACCACATCTTGAGATGCATACTGAGGGTCCTCTGGGTTTACTGACCAGTAGCAGTAATCAAAGCTGAATGCCACAATCTTCTCCCGGGAGTCTCCAAAACCATCAGGTCGACTGCCCACCTAAAATTAAACACAGAGTCCAATTCTCTATTATAATGTCAGACACTGGCTAATGGCATTTGTCTACTCTATGCTATTCAAGTGTTAAGGTTAAGATCTAAGTGTTTCCCCAAAGGCTTATATGTTCAGCAGTGAGATTTCTGGAAAGTAGTTAGATCTCAGGGGCCTTAACCTCATGGATGGAGTGGTCCTTTATCAAGTTCATAGCTGGATATGTCATCAGGAAGTGAGGCGTAGGAGGTCACTGGGGCATTATCTGAAAGGATGTGCCTTAACCCAGCTCCGTCTCCTCTCTCTGCTTCCTGGTTGTTCTGAAGTGAACACTCTTCCTCCACCAACCACTTTGCCCATGATACTTCTGCCTTGGGGCCAGCCAACCATGGTCTGAATCCTCTGAAAACTGCAAATCAAAAATAAACCTTTTCTCCTTTTAAGTTTTGTATGTCATGTGTTTTGACCCAGCAACAGAAATATGACTAGTACCATTAGAGAGACCTAGACTGGTCACAGGATATCTGCAAAAGCAAAAAAGGCAGCCTTTGTCTCCTGTTCATTAGATACAAAGTTCCAGAGAACTAAACATGTCTATCACACTCTCATGTATCTGTCTGTATCTGCACCAGTCACATGAGACTGAGATAAATGGTGCTTTTGGAGCTTAAAAAAACACCTATCCCCTCTGGGCATTCTCATCACTAGCCTTGTTCTCTAAGTATTCCCACCCCTGAGCCTGATGGAGTCCATCAGGCTGGAGCTCTCACTAAGTACCAAGGTATCCATACCCAACAAAGCAAAAATCATGTTGAACAGTCAGAAATAATCCAACTGCTCAAGGTAGATGAGAGGAGAGCCAGAGCTGAGAACTGCACTGACTTGTGGATACTGTAGAGAATGTTATTATTCACAGAAATGCATTAACATTATTTAGAAATCAGACTCTGAATAGGGAAAAACAAGCTCAAAAACTACAGGGCCTGGGACCGGGATTTAGCTCAGCAGCATAAGGGCTTGCCTGCCAAGCCCAAGGTTGTGAATTCGATCCCCGGTTCCAAAAAAAAAACTACAGGGCCTGGTCCAAGAATGTAGCTTAGCAGCATAAGTGCTTGCCTGGAAAGCACAAGGTCATGAGTTTGATCCCCAGTACCAAAAAACAAAACAAAAACTACAGCACCAGATATATAGCTCAGCAGCACAAGGTGCTGAGTTTGACTCCCAGAACCAAAAACAAAAACAAAAAAACCCCACTACAGCCTATAATCCCAGCACTCACAAGGCAGGAGGATCAATGTGAGTTGAGGCTAGCCTGGGCTATATAAGCAAGTTCAAAGTCAGCAGGTTCAAACTGCACAGCAGGACCTTGTTTAAAAAAAAAAAAAAAAAACCCGGGGCCAGGGGCTCAGCTCAGTGGCATAAGTGCCTGCCTGGCAAGCACAAGGTGATGAGTTCGATCCCTGGTACCAAAAAAGAAAAAGAAAAACAAAGTCTGATTAAAAAATAAATAAATATGTAAGTGCTAGGTACAGTGGCACATCCTTGTGATCCCAGCATTCTCAAGGCCCAAGTTGGGCAACTTAGCAATTTAGTGAGACCCTGCATCAAAATAAAAAGGGCTTTGCTCAGTGCAAAGTTCCTTGATTCAGGCCACAATAACACCAAAAACAAAACATAAACCTCCAGAAGCACAAGTGTTATGGTGCATTCCTGTAATGTCAATTACCCAAGCTACTCAGGAGGCTGATGTAGGAGGTTCTTAAGTTTAATATATTCTCACTGGCTTTAACCACTAGGGGTACATTCATGACTGTCCCATCCATCTGCTTATACACTGCGGTACAAATGGAGTTAATCGCTATTTTCAGTCTTTTTACTAATAAAATTAATTAAAAGTCTATAATTAATTTTGGGCCAAATCTAGTAGATTAAATTTGAATAATTATTGCCCAAATATAAATATTAATACTGCTTATACTGATTAAAATATCATGAACAAATTTATTAAATTTATTTATAGTCTTAAAATTTATCAACAATTGGTCTAAATTTTAACATGGAAATATTATGAACCCCATTACTGGTGTGTATCATATGCACTTACAATTGCTGTATCACAAATTAGATGTTACAAAATTTTATACCATTTTAAGGCTTTCTTTAAGGAACTGTAAAGGATGACATCTGGACTACTAAATCAACATTTTTCTTTGTATTACTGTAATCAAAGAAGTCTGGCCTCTGAGAAGTGGTACAAACGCTTGATGGAACAATCTGGTATATACCACCAGTGACTGAAGCTGGCAGCAACAATCAAATTTAAATCAAAGCCACTCAGCAGCCAGAGCTTAGTAGGACTCTGTCTCAAATTTTTTAAATAAATAAAAAAAGCCTAGCAGCCAGGCACGGTGGCTCATGCCTGGAATCTCAGCACTCAGGAGGCTGAGGCAGGAGGACTGCCGTGAGTTTGAGGTCATAGTGAGACTCTAAGAAAAAAACAAAAAGGCTAGCAATATAGCTTAGTGTTTCCTGAATTCAATCTACAATAACAAGCCCCAAGATACACACATAAAACCTACAGAAGAATGAGGCTGTCAGAAGTGGACAAGAGATTAGTGGATAACTGATCTTAAGAAAACAAGGAGCTGGGTAGGGGTAGAGGGTAAGCTGAAATTTGATCTGGACTAAGATTTATTCTTTTTTGGTGTTTTAGTTTTTGGGACAGTTTCACTATATAGTGCAGACTGGCCTTGAACTGCTTATGCAGCCCACGCTGGCCTCAAACTCAGTGATCCTCTTGCCTCAGTTTCCCAAGTGCTAGGATTACAGGTGTACATCACGCCCAGCTAAGATTTATTCTTAAAAATCAAAAATGAATTCCCTAAAAAACTAAAGTGATTAGGCACCAGAGATGTGAGTAACTGGCAGTAAAAAATGAGAGTCTGTTGTTCCCAAGGAGTGCCTACTGAAAGTTTGGCAGGTCCCATTCTTTCAGCAGAGAGCTTGTGACAAGAGAAAACACATCACATCACAGAAGGATGCATGGCTCTGAGGCTCGAGTCTAGATAACCCTCACCCTTGCCAGTGAGTTTCCTCACCTCTCAGGAACACTGGTTTCCACCTAGGAACTGACTGTAACTGTAGTCACATAGTCAACTTCCCAACTCTCCACTCAAGACCTACAAAGGACAAACCCTTCCATCATCCACTCGTCTGATAAATGGAGAAAAGAGATGAAGGAAATTAGTTCTAGGAATAGGGGCGGATATGCAGTGTAGGGAAAGAAGTTCCCTGTGTCTGTCCAACTGAACTCAAAGTTCAGTTACATCCATGAAAGAAAATCTGTAACAAGACTTGGGCTAGTGATCAACTTCCTTCTGAGAACCGATGCTTTTATCTAGACCTCACTATGGCTAAAATTCTACACTAATCTCTAATATTTGTAAAGCAGTGATGGCGAATCTATGGCACACATGCTGCAGTGGGCACAAACACCCTTCTCTATTGACATGTAAGCCAAGTTGCTCCCAGCATCTGCACACTGGATAACAGTTGTTTTTTCTAAATGGAAACTCAGTATTCAAATTTAATTGTAGTGTAATAAAAAGTGGGGTTGGAGTTGCAGTGTGACTACTTGGTCTCCAAAAAGTTCATCATCACTGCTTTAAAATGGTATCAGTTGAAAGGTTTAGAAAAGTCATAGCAGGGGAAGTTAGACACCATTGCCCATCACATAATTTAAGAATATCGTGGCCCCCATAACAACCTTTGTGTTTATTTTCAAAGCATCCCTATCAGTTTTGAAAACATCTCCATCTACTTGATAAGATAGGCTACAGCAGCCACATTCCCTGCACTTCGTTTTTTGGCTTATTTTTTAATTTGCTTTACAACTGGGCCAAACTTATCCCACAATTCCCCTTAGAGGCTCTTCTCTTCCCCTTTCGAGGGGAACATATTCACATACACACCTTCACCCCAAAATTAGCCCCAGAGTGGAAAGCAAATAGACAACACTTTCAGGCTTACCTTTAAACTTCTAATTTTTGCCACTTTGTCATCAATTTCCACAATAATTTTTCCTCCTTCTTTGCTCTCCCTAGGGAAAAAACCCAAATCTGTATGAGAATACTTTTAACAAAGAAAGAGATGCCGAAACTAGCAGTAGGGAGAGAAATGGTTTTCTTACAGAAGAATATCTGCCTCCATAAATAGCTGCATGATTTATACCAACAGCTCCCCTGGCCAGCTTGCTTCCTAGATCAGTATAGTGTAAACTCAGGAGCAGCTAAATCTCCACTTTATACTACTCATTCTTTATGTACAAGATACTCTATGAGGTGCTTGATATATTGTACTGCATTGTTTCTATCCTCATACTTCCCGATGAAGCTTCCTTAATATATCATCATTTTTATAGATGGAGGACTAAAGCTTAGAGGAAACTATGTAACTTGTCCAAGGTCACACAGCAGAGCTAAGATTTAAATGTAAACTTGTCTGACCAAAAAGCCTGGGCTGTTAACTATATCTTACAAACCAGACATGGAAACCCTAGAAAACATCCCTGGCCCCGCACATAACATGGCAGAATCCTTCAATTTTTCTGAGATTCTAAACAGAAGTATCAACGACAAAGATATTAGAAGCCCTAAGATGGGGTGTAGTAGCACAAGCCTGTACTCCCAGCACTTGGAAAATTGTGGCAGAGAATCATCATGAATTCAAGGCCTTCCTAGATGACATAGTTCAAAGCCAGTTTGAACTACATAGCAAGATCTTGTCTCAAAAAAACAAAAAACAAATGGGTATTGGAGTCCTCTCTTTTGAGACACTGTGAAACTATTTTACAATTTCTCTCCTTATTGTCTTCTTAAATCAGCACAGTCAAAATTTTAAAGATCTTTCCATATTTCCAGCACTCAGGAGGCTGGGGCTGAAGCATCTTGAGTTTTAGATTAGTCTGGACAACATAGCATATTCAAGGTCAGGTTGAGCTCCTATCTCAAAAACAAAACAATCTTTCTACATTGCAGGCATGCAAGTAACCACTGAGAACCACTAAATAACCTCTATACTCACTTTAATGGTCTTAATCCAGGTGACCCACACTAAAGCCCATCCTTTCTCATAACAAAAATCTTCGACTAAAGTGCTCCTGGCCATGAGGCAGGAGAATCACAATGAATTTTCAGTCAGCATGGACTACAGAAGCAAGTTCAAGGGTCAGCCTGCACTACATAGGAGACCCTATTTTAAAAAAAAAAAAAGAAAGAAAGAAAAAGAAGAAAGGGCCAAGGATTTAGCTTAGCGGTATAAGCACCTGACTGGCAAGGGTGAGGTCATGAGTTCAATCCCAGGTATTAAAAAAAAAAAAAACCGGGCCAAGAATATAGCTCAGCAGCACAGCATACCTGATGGGCAAGCACAAGGTCATGAGTTCAATTCCTGGTACCATAAATAAAGTGCTCTCGGCCAAAATGTTGACAAAGAAGAATTAAGATCATTAGGCTCCCCACACTGCAGGGAAGTTATCAACTAGGGACCTGAAAGTAGACAAAATACCTTCAGTTCCATTTTTATCCTTTCTTATGTTTCCCAGGATATAACCTACAGGAATGGAAGGTGAGTGAGATGAAGTTTTTTAAATTTTGTTTTTGCAATATTGAGGATTGAACTCAGGGTCTCACAAGACACTATTCAGACATTCTACTATTCAGTCACATTCCCAAATCTTTAAATTTCATTTTGAGTCAAGGTCTCAATTGCCCAGGCAGCCTACCACATCCAGTAAGACAGTGGGTTTTATTTATTTATTTTTTTTGGTGGTACCAGGGATCAAACTCACAACCTTGGGTTTGCCAGGCAGGGTTTATGCTGATGAGCTAAATCCCTGGCCCAACAGTGGGTTTTAGAATGATCCTTTTTTAAACCTGTGAGGTAAGCCTCAGATAGTATCCTGTATAAATAGTTCCCCTTGCCCAGGTAAACCGTATTTCTGTTAAATTTCCAGATTTCCTTAACATACATCACCAGATTTTTTTTGAGACAGTATATTGCTAAATTCCTAACTGCCCCAGACTGGGCTGGAATTTGTAATCCTACTACCTCAGCACTCCCCAGAGCACCGGGATTAGACATGTACCACCACACTAATCTAACAGACATTCTTAATCTCCAAGAACCGTCAGTTCATCCAAAGCTAAGACTGCACTCTCCAAACCCAACTCTCCTAAAGAAATGTATTAAAGTTTTACAAGATAACATTTAGCCAGATATGGTGGCACATGTCTGTAATCCCAGCACTCAGGAGGCCAGCCAAAAGTACATAGTGAGAGACCTATCTCCAAAAGAAATTTTCTTTTTCTCTCTTCCTCTTTTTTCCCTCTGTGAAGCATCTTTAATGTGTATGTGTGAGACAGGGTTTCACTATGTAGTTCAGGTACTTTCACAGAGATGCTCCTGCCTCAGTCTCCCAAGTGGTATATGCCAACATGCCCAGCTTTCCCTCCTGGTTGGTTGGGGTTTGGCTTTTTGGTTGTTGTTGTTGTTTTTTTTTGGGGGGGTTGGTACTGGGACTCTAACTCACGACCTCACACTTGCCAGGCTGGCATTGTGCCTCCTGAGCTATATCAGCTCTTCCTCTTTGTATTTTAATGCTGGTTTAAGTTATTTCTTTACAGCAAGACATGGTGGCACACATCTGTAATCTCAGCACTGAGAAGAATGAGGCAGGAGAACTGCCGTGAGTTCTAGGCCAGCCTGCGCTACAAGGCAACAAGAACTCCATAGTGAGACCCTTTCTCAGAAGGACCAAAATAATAATAATAAAGTTTAAAAATAAACTATTCCTTTACTAGTCACAAAAGCAATACTACCCAGAGCATAGTAAATTTGGACAGTAAGAAAAAAATTATGTGATAAAATTTCCAAGACTTTAAGTTTGTTCTTTGATGAGGATTCATCAGGAGCCTTGTCATAAAGCGAGGAAAAAAAATTCCTGAATTTAACCTTTTGGTAGAAATATGTAACACTATAGGAGGAGGGTGAGATTTTGCTGCCCACCAACCATTGGTAACCTAGCAGTTCCAAAATACTGTAAAACAAAGTAAGGGCTACTAAAAACCCTTGTTGTTGTTTTTGTTTACTTTTTTTCTTTTTTTGGTTTTGGGGTTTGTTTGTTGTTATTGTTGTTGTTGTTTGAGGCAGGATCTCTATGCAGTTTGTAACCCAGGCTAGTCTTAAACTTGCAATGTTCCTTCTGCCTCAGTCTCCCCAGTTCCAAGATTACAGGTATGCACTACCATGCCTGGCAAAGGCTAAATTTATAGTTGAAGAAAAAAGAAAACAAAATTGAAAAAAGAACAGCCACTAACTTCAGTTAGAGAGCTAGCTTCAAAGCGCTCAATTTATACCTACTAAACAAGGCAATGGCTGCTACTACCATTTTCCTGAGATCTACCAAAGTTCACTCCTTAGGGTTAAAGGTTCTGAATAGGAGTAAGGGCTGAGTATGGTGGCACGTGCGTGCTTGTAATCCTAGCGCTCAGGAGGTTGGGGAAGATGGATTGCTGAGTTTGAGGCCAGGCGGAACTACCTAGCAAGATCCTGTCTCAAAAAAAAAAGCAGTAAGGCTGCCTATATCAGAATTATGAGAGTCCAGTTAATTCAGTCTGAATAATAAAAAGTTACATTATAACATTATTGGTTTATATTCCCCTCTAGACACTAGTTCTCCACCTATAATTTATGCAAATTATATTTTATGCAAATTATAGGTGAAGAACTACTATCTAGAGGGGAATATAAACCAAGCTGTTACTACCGAGTATTCCTTTATAAACTTTTTAAAAATCAGCCAAAAACAAACAACAAAATAAAACCCTAGATAGCTAAGTACAGGAGCCAGGGGAATAAAAACTATCACTAAAAAATCATATATCAAACACTTAAAATAAGCCAGGCTCATTATTTTTAATGTATTCTTTTATTTAATCTTCAGAAAACCACAGAAGTAGTTATCCATAGCTAACAGATTAAAAGACAAAGAGAGAGGTATATAGTGTGTGAAAAGTAATTTTGACAAGACCCTACAGAGGTGGCAAAACAGACATGTTCTCTCAGTGGCAAATGATTTGGATAAGGGGCAGCACTTCATAATAACATACAGTTTAACATCATTTTCTTAACCTACTCATGCTGTTACAAATTCCTAGTTCCCAAAGAACTAAGAAATTACTGGGCCAGGGATACAGCTCAGCGGGCTGAGGAGACGGCCACTGCACAAGAGCCTGCCTGGCAAGCACAAGGTCCTCAGTTCAATGCCTAGTACAAAAAAAAACGAGAGAAATTACTGTCAGGAGTGCCCCTATTGTTACTCTGAGAACCCTAAAAGGATAGTTTAAGAAAAAGAGGATCTACCAGAAACTACATCTAAGGTGGCAGCTACACCCATGAACCATTCCCCCAGCCCAACCAGTTAGTCATGCCCTAGGACTCCAATGCTTTGAAACTCTGGGAATTTGGAATGCACCAAATTTTGACACAAAAATTTATTCTAGTGCTTGTGGTTTATTTGGTACTCCACGCAAAAGTTAGAAATTTGTCAGCGTTGACTGCCTTGTTAATCACTATGTTTTGCAGCCAAAACAATGTTTGGTTACTGCTTGTGTCTCCAGAAACTAAATAATGAGTACAGAGGTACCACTCTGACTACATGCAGAAGCCAGGTGTCCTAAGCCATGTACCAATCAGTTTCAGGGACAGCAGTTTAAGTACCTAATGCTTTCCTTTTTTCTAACACCCCCCCCCCTTTTTCTGTTCTCCTTTTTCTTGCTTATCCTCTCTCATTGCTCATTATTCTGTCAGACAATCACCTCTAGATGAGGACAAATATCGTGTCAGCTAGTACCGCGAGACACTCCTTTTCTTGACCCTTCTGCCCCCCCCCCTTTTTTTTTCTTAAGACCAGGTCTTGCCATGTAGTTCAGGGTGGTCTTAAACTCACTATGTAGCCCAGGTTGGCCTGGAACTCACAGCAATCCTGTCTCAGCCTCCAGAATGCTGGGATTACAGGTGTGCACCACCACACCTGGCTTTCTGTCTAACGATCAAACCATGTTATGTCCTAGAAATGTTTTAAATTTCCCAGTAATTTCAGGATGTGCCTTCAGGTCCCCACTGTCAGCTTTATCACTTCCCTCCACACCAACTCCTCAGCTAGAACATGTTCCTAAAGACCTGTATCTTTTTCTCTTGGTGTCTCTTCTCCACTCAGGACTCTGTACACTTTATCTATCGTTTAACAAACTCTAAAATCTAAACTTTTTGTTGTTCCGTTTGTGTGAGGTGTTTATGTTTTTGTATTGTAGATTAAACCCAGAATCTAGATCTCTAGCCCTTTTTCTGAGACACGCCCGTCTTCTAAAAACAAAACAACTTTAAAAGACAGTTCCATCACCAAATCGTCTGCAAAGCCTCAGACTTCCCAAATGTACCAGAGGAAAAGAGAAAAATATGTGGCTAACAGCTGCAGATACTGAGGAATGGGTGACTGTGACTTCCTACCCCCGCAGTTCCGCTCTGATTAGGTCAGCTGTGAAGCGCAGGCTGGGCCTGGAGTTCTACGGCCTCGCAAAGGAAACCCGCGGCCCCCGCCCCACAGTCCCTTCTCCGGACACCGAAAGCCGAGCGCCCACCGCGCCCTACGGTTTTCACCGCTGTACCGCCGGAGGACGCCAGGAAACCGCACGGAAAGCTTGACGCGGCCACCACAGATCCGCCTGGCCCTCATCTGCGGACCCGAGCCCAGTCACTTTGTGTCTGGTTTCCGCGCGCCAGAAGCTCTATCGGGGTACGCGAGGATCTCGCGCTCCTCAGCTCCCTCAGCGTCTCAGGCGCCCCCTCACGCTGACTCACCTCTTGCTGAGGGGCCGCACCCTCACGGCCACCCGCACAGTCGCCATCCTTCAGCCACACCCAAGAGTCGCAGACCAGTTCAGTGGCCGCATCTCAGATCCCAGGTCCAAGCACAACCCGGGCAGCCGCCCGCCACGCCCGCCACTACCCAGAGCTAAGCGCGCGCCTCCCGGGATGCCCCGCCCAGTCCGCGCGGCTGGCGGTAGGGGCGGGGCGCGTTGAGATGTGGCCACTCTAAACCCTATGGGCGGGAACACGCGCGGCCCCACGGAACCTCCCGGGACTCCACTGCTCTTGCTCCCACCTCGGCCCGGGAAGGGCGGTGCGGGATGAGTGTCGGCCAATCCTGAATCCGGTGGGCGAACAACGTTCGGTCCACCCTACTTTGCTCCGCCTCCTATGCCCCCTAGGGCGCCCTCTCCCAGACTTGCACTGCCACGCCAAGCTTCAGCCAATCCACAGTCTGGTAGGCGGGCCAATGATCGGTCCCGCCCCTCGCTCCACTTTAGATTCCTCAATGCTGTTTGTTTCCCAGCAAGGCTTTGTTTTCCTTGTGCGATGTAGAGTCAAATCTATTAAATTTTGGTTGACGTTGGAAAGTTTATTAAGTATTGTGCTAAATTTTTTTTGATACGGGATCTCACTGTGTAGATCAGCCAAGTCTTGAACTCACTATATTGCAAGCTGGCCTAAATATCGGATTTTTTGGCCTCAGCCTCCTTGAGTGCTGGGATTACAGGTGTGTGCCACCAAACCCGTTGCTGCTCTAAATATTTCTGTTGACTGAGTTGGCTTGAGCTTAATACTATAGTAGTTAAGTTTTAGAGGCAAGAACAAAATGAACAAAGTAGATGTTCTGCGGGTCCTAGCAAGGAGCACCCATTTGGAGTTTGAAGAGAAATTTGGAGTGCTTACAGGGACCATCTCACGGCCAGTTTACCAATATTTATGGTATATAGGGATTGGTATCTGACCACCGCTGGTTTATTTGTTTACTCAAGAAATACTTACTGGAGGGCTGGGGATTTAGCTCAGCGGCATAAGCGCCTGCCTTACACGCAGGCAGTCGTGAGAGTTCGATCCCCGGTACCGATAAAAAGGAAAAAGACCAAAAAAAGAAAGAAAGAAAGAAAGAAAGAAAGAAATAGCTACTGCCAGTGAATTAGCTAAGCAGTAAAAGGACCTGCCGGACAAGCGCAAGATCGTGAGTTTGATGCCTGGTGTTGGAGACCCTTGAAACTGAATACATGTGCAGGACTGTAGCGTGGCCAGGGTATGACTGAACTGAGAACTAGGAGAAACGTCGTTCAGGTGACAAGATAGGCCACAGCTGAGGCCACCTGCAGACTTTTTTTCTGGATGGTTTTCCTTAATTAGCATCTCCTGTTGCTCTGAAGGGTCCTTGAACTCCCTCCCAACATCGTGTTGGAGTTTCCTCCATTGTCCACTCAATTTGTTTGTTCATCGGACTAGCTAAGAGCAGTGGAGTCCCGGGAGGTGGAGTAAATCTGGGCGGGGCCGCGCGTGTTCCCGCCCATAGGGCATTGGTCAAATCTCAACGCTGCCTAGTGTCAGTCAGTTGGCCGGCTAGCAGAGGTAGGATCTCTGCGAGGATTTCATCCCTCTTGCAGCCCTAAAGACTATGCCGCGTGTCTCATTCCTTTGAGCCTGTGCCTGTGCACCGGTTTAGGGTATTGAGAAGTTTAGGCACGGACCCCAACATCCCAGTACAAAAAAAAAAAGCTATTGCACACTACAGAGTGTTGAGGACTGACTTAAGGAGCTGACAAATAGTGGCGAACAAAACTAAGTCCTTGTCTTCATATAAATTAAGATCTGTAAGGATCTGTAAGGATCTGTAAGGAAAGGGAAAAAAGATAACCTACCATAATAATATGTCAAACGGTGCTAAGTGCAATGAAAAAAATTAGGGAAAGGGGATACAGTAATACAGCCTGTAGAGGAAAGGTGCTAATTTATATAGTATCTTCAGGAATGCCTTTACTGATTGGTAAGGCCACACGTTAATAGACTTAAAGGAAGAGAAGGGGTGATGTAGGTACTCATTTAACAAGGATTCCTAAGAAAGCTTCTATTAGGCATTGCTGTCCTTGTTGCACTCAGGATAAAGCAATGAAGAAAACAAGAGCTCTGACCTCACAAGCCGAGGGAGGGAGACTATAAGTAAAACTACGTAGTAAAATGTTCATCAGACTAGCTAAGGAGAAAAACATAAACATGGGAAGGAAATAGGTGAGAAGTGATGATTTTAGATAACATGACCAGAGAAGGCCGCACTGAGAAAGTGAGAAAAATCTGAAGGCTGTGAAAGGAGAGGCACGTGGCTGCCAGAGCAAAGGCTGACAACAGTTGGAAATTTTCCAGGAATGGGAGGAAGCCAATGAAAGCAGAGTTGAGTGACAGAGGGAGAATCATGAAGGGGCATGAGATTGTGGTAGTCTTTGGGTTTTAGTGTAAGTGATCTAGGAAACAACAGATAAATTTTGAAGAAAAGTAAAATGATTTCATTTATGTATTTCTTTTCTTTTTTTTTTTTTTTTGGTCTCTTTCATTTTTATCGGTACCAGGGATTGAACTCACGACTGCCTGCTTGCAAGGCAGGCGCTTATGCTGCTGAGCTAAATCCCCAGCCCCTCATTTATGTATTTCTTTCCACCACTCCCCATGCTGAGGATTAAATCTAGGAGTGCTCTACTACTGAGATACATACTGAACTCTTTTTATTTTTTATTTTGGGACAAGTCTCACTAATTTGCCCAGGCTGACCTCAAACTCACTGTGATCCTCCTGCTGGGATAATAGGCATGCAGATCTGCACCTACCCAACTTTCTTGTACTGGGTATGGTAATACATGCATGTAATTCCAGCACTCTGGGAGGTTGAGGCAAGAGGATTACAAGTTTGAGACCAGCCTAAGCAATTTGGAGACGGCTTCAAAAAATAAAAAATAAAGCTAGGCATTGTGGCAGATGCTCACAATCTCAGCACTCTGGAGGCTGAGGCAAGCAAGTTCAAGACCAACCTATACTACGTAGTGGGATCCTGTCTCAAAAAATAAAAATAAAATAGAGCTGAAGATGTAGCTTTGTCTCTTGTTTGAATAGTGTCAAAATAAAGTTTGGTTGGTGTGTCTTTTATTCTTTAATTCTGCTGGCTTTCTTATCCCTCTTCTTCCCAACCTCAACTGCAGCATTTATTTGTTAAAGAGACCAAGTCATTTTCCCAGAGTTTAGGTTTTGCAAACTGTTCCTGTAGCGACATTTAAATATTGTTCAGTATTGGTATTTCCTGTAAATGATAGTTGTATCCAGAGCCTTGATTAAGTTAATAGAAATCTTTCTTTTTGAGCCATTTGCTTTCTTTTTTTTTTTTTATTTTAAAGAACAAGACAGAACAAGGCCAATCGAGACAGTGCCATGAAATTGGTACAGAACTTCACAGCAGGATATTGGGATAACAATAATAGATACCATAGTATAAATATCTCATTATCTTCACAGTAGTTGTCCAGTCAATTAGGTATAGCAAAATCAAACCAAAAACAGAACATTATAAAACCAGTCGAAAGAGAATATTGACTAGAGCAAAACAATCATAACAAAACAAAACAGCACAAACATTTGCCTTCAAACAGAAGATAGAAGGAAATCCCCCCTGTTTGCTATATTGCATATGGTCATCCTCCCAAGAGATGCTCAGGCCTCTGTCCCTAGTTGCTAATGGGGAGATAGGGGAGGGATGGGATTGATTCTCAACCTGAGCACTGGTAGGCTCACACCGGAGACTGGTTCTCTCCTGACCTGAGCCAGGGGCACTTACCAAGAGGGCGGATGAATTGTTTTCTTGTGCAGCCATGTAAGTTCCTCCATGGCCAGATGTTGGGGGCCACTGACTAGTTCTCCTCCTGGCTTGCGCTGGGGTGCTTAGGCAAATTGCTTTCTTGTTCAGATGCCAAAGTTCCATCATCACCATTTGCTTTCTTTATGATCTGATGAGCCCACTAGGTCATCATTTCATTAGAGATTTCACAATTATAATACTCATTTTTATTTATGCACCAAAATACTCCTATAAAGAGAAGCTTTTTATCAAGTATTTGATTACTCTGAAGTACAGAGCACATAACAAAGGTCTAATTCTTTTCCTTCATTTACCAAGTTTCAAAATATGTGAGTTTCCTAGCATTCTCCAAAGTCCACAGGTGACTAAGTTTCTTAAAAAGTATTATTATAAGCTGGGCTGGTGGTGCATGCTTATATCATAGCATTCAAGAGGCCAAGGCAGGAGAATCATTGCAAATTTCGGCCTGGACTACATAGTAAGTTTAAGGACAGCTCATACTACAAAATGAGATCCTGTGTTTTAAAAAACAAAAAAGTGACAAAATAAATACACTTGGCTGAGTAACAGTGGACATTGGAAGAAGCTCACAGTGGTTATAGGGCAAGAGTCTATTGAATCTCTCATTCCTCAACTTGACATCAGATCTAGCCCATCTTATCAAAAACCTACTTGATTTTGTGCAAGATTTAAATTTAGAATTGAAGGTATAGCTGGGTGTGGTGCCCTCAAACTTGCTGTAATCCTTCTGGCTCAGCATCCCAAGTGCTGGGAATACAGGGGTGAGCCACCATGCCCAGCTTGATATCAGATTTTAGCTGGCAGAAGAGTTAGTGCACTTGAAAATAGTATAATATAAATCATCCAATTTCTAGAAGAGAGTAAAAAGATAGAATAAAGATGAACAAAGCGCCACGCAGCTATGGAGCCGTGTCAAGGATGCTTACTTGTGTAATGAGACCCTAAAAAAGAGAGAACAGAAAATAAGACATTAAAAAACAAATGGCAAGTGCAAGGTCCTGAGTTTGATTCCCATTGCTAAAAAGAGAGAGAGAGAGAGAGAGAGAGAGAGAAATAATGAACCCCAAACTCCTCAAATTTGTTGGAAATTATTACACAGGTAAGCAGCTTAAGGACTCCAGTAGTACTAAGTACAAACATACACATCAAAACATGAAGGAAAAGGGAAAAAAATGAAAGAGTAACCAGCCATAGTAGTAAATGCCTATAATCTGAGAAGTTGGGTAGCTGAGGCAGGAGGATTGCTGAGAGTTCAAGGCCAGCCTGAATTATATAGTGAGAGCCTGCCTCAAAAACATAGCAAATTAATAGAAGAGCGAGGGATAGTGACATGCCTATAATCTCAGATACTTAGGAGGCTGAGGCAGGAGAATCAAAGGTTTGTGGCCAGCCTGGTCAACTCAGTGAGACTTTGTTTCAAAATAAAAAGGGGTAGGAGTATA